GGTTAAGTGTTGGAATCCTGACACGGTATTGGCCGGTTCTCCGAACGACTCAAAATCTTTGCTACCAGTTCTCCAGAACCGCTTCGAACCGGCTGAATACCACCTCTGCCCTGGTAGGGACGGTCAGAAAAGCAGCGATCCATGGGGGGGGGGGGGGGGGGATCGTCTACAATCCTCGACTTACGGGCTACAATGAAGCCCGCCCCCCGCCCCCTCCAAATTCCCCCGTTGCTAAATCTTTTGTCGATCTTCATTTTTGGCGGCCTCGTTTTTTTTTCCCTCCCCAACAACAGCGATCTCCATGGACAGCAACTCGCTCGTCATGTCGGAAATCGTAGACATTCCCGGGGACAGCAGCCCGTCGGAGGATTCCTGCCTGCTGGAAGGGAGCGGCTCGGCCTGCTCGGTGGATTACGTCCTCTTCCGCTCGATCCAGCGCAGCCGGGCGGATTACTGCCTGAGCGTCGATTGCGGACAGTGCGGGATTCACCCGCAAGGCCCCTTTGAGGACATCCCGCAGGCGCGCCTGCGGGGCGAGCGCTCCTTCTCCTGCTCCACGCCGGGCACGGTGTACGACGGCCTGCTGGAGGCGGGCAGCGTCCAGACCCACAGCTGCCACCGCCTGGAGGGTCTCGGCCACGGCGCGGGGCCCTGTTTCCCCGAAGTCCGGGTGAAGGCCAAGTCGGCGGTCACGGCGCGCAAAGGGCCCAGGCGGCAGCGCCGCAGCAGCGAAACGTCCTGCCAGTCCCCCGTGATCCGATGCCCGCTGCTGCGGTCCCACAGCGACCCTGGGATGGCCGCCTCCAGGGAGGCGGGTGAGTAGAACGGGGTAATAAAGAGGATGGAAGGGGACCTGGGAGGTCTTCTAGTCCAACCTCCCGTGAAGGAAGAGAAAGGGGAAGGGGAAGCAAGGAAAAAAAAAAAGAATAGCAGAAAATAACAGAATAACAAGAGTTGCAAAGGGACCTTGGAGGACTTCTAGTCCAACCCCCTGCAGAGGAAAAGAGGGAGGGAGGAGGGAAGGGAGGGAAGGGAGGGTGGGAGAGAAGAAAGGAAGAATAAGAGAACAAAAGAATTGGAAGGGACCTTGGAGGTCTTCCAGTCCAACCCTTTGCGAAGGAAGAAAGAAGGGGAAGGGGAAGGAAAAAAAGAATAAGAAGAAAAGAAAACCCTAACCCTAACCCTAAACCGAATAGCAGAATAACAGAGTTGGAAGGGACCTTGGAGGTCATCTAGTCCAACCCCTAATCAAGTCGGAGTCCATATCCCATTACAGAGAAATGGTTTTCCGATCCCTTCTTGAAAACCCCCAATGATGGAGAAGGGAGGGAGGGAGGGAGGAAGGAAGGAAGGGAGGGAGGAAAGAAAAACATAGCAGAATAACAGAGTTGGAAGGTCATCTAGTCCAACCCCTAATCAAGTCGGAGTCCATGTCCCATTGCAGAGAAATGGTTTTCCGATCCCTTCTTGAAAACCCCCCCGTGATGGAGAAGGGAGGGAGGGAGGGAGGAAGGGAGGGAGGGAAGGGAGGAAAGAAAAACATAGCAGAAGAACAGAGTCGGAAGGGACCTCGGAGGTCATCTAGTCCAACCCCCTCCCTAGGCAGGAAGCCCTATACCATTTCAGACAAATGCTTGTCCAATCTCTTCTTGAAAAAAAAAGCCTCCAGGGTTCTCTTCAACGTCGGGAGGCCAGTCGTTCCAGCAAGCCACCCAAACACAGGCAGCAAGATGCCACGGAGCCACGCGATAGTCACCTCTCCCCTGAGATTCATCCCTAGCCCAAAAATCCAACCTTCTCCCTTTTCAGGGAGCCACGAAACCCTCCGTTTTTCATTCTTTCTCTTCCGTGTGTGTTTCCCCCCTCCCTTTCCTCCCTTTTCTTCCACCCCAACAGAAACCAACGACCACGAAGTATTTTGCACAAAAGAATCTGGAGACGACGCTTCCAACGGCTCGGCGGAGACAGGTGAGGGCTGAGCCACCCCAGCGGTCATTTCACACCTGCCCTAGGACTATCGTTTTTTTGTCCCCCCGTTGCAGCATCTGAATTGTTGTCACCCTGATTGACAACAAACCCTCGTTGCAAAAACCACAGGCTTCAAGAAAGTCTCACCCGTACAACGGTTTCGTTCTTAGAAACTCGGCGGGAAGGCGGGCGGGTGGACAGCTTGGCATTTCTCCAAGGTTTCCTGGGCCGTCCCCAACTTACGATGGTTTCACTTAGTGAAGGAAGCTATGGAGGCCCTGAGAAACGTGATTCCTGACCACGTTTCGCACGTACGACCATTGCTGCAACAGCTCCTCCCCCACCCCCCTGGGTGACCTGATCAAAATTCAGATGTTAGGAGACCTGGCTCGTAGTTATGACTGTTGCAGCATCCCGGTGTGTGTGTGTGTGACCTTCTGAGCAGCCAAGGGGGGAGACAGACTCACTTAACAACCATGGGGCTGACTTCCCAACTGCAATGATTCGCTTAACAACGGCAGCAAGAAAGGGGGGTTAAAACAGGGAACGGGACGACAAAATTCACCGAACGAATGTTTCACTTAGCAACGTAAATGGGATGACCCAAAGGGGTGTGGCACAAAGGCAACACAGTCAGATAATCCGTGGGAGTCCCTTTATTAGCTCCAACTTTGCCCCCAATGTCCTGGTTACCTTCTGGGCTGGAGAAAAACTCTCCCAGGAATAGCCTTTGGCTGCAGAGAATCAAGTCCAAAACGTGGTCAACAAAAACTGTAACTTAAAGTCCAAACAAGGCAAAATGAAGTAATGAGTCCGGCAGGGCAGGAGAAGGAATTCCAGATGTGAAGGAACGGCAATAACTCAACACAGTTGGGAAGACTCCAGGAACGCAGATAACTAAAGTCAACACAAGATAAACTCAAATTTGCTCCCAGCAGATGCCACACTCAGCATGCATTTCTTTTAAACTCTCTTCCCAGCTGTGACTCATGAAGGGAATCAGGGCCCTTTCCTCCCCCGTAAGCCATGCAACTCATGTTGCTCCCTTCTCCGTTCCTCCCTGCGTGCCCTAGGATGAAGAGGGGGTGGGCCTGGGTCTTCCTCTGAACTCCCTCTCCCTTGTTCTACTTCTCCCCTGCTCTGCCCAGCCGGACTTTGCCCTTCCCCAGTTTCTTCCACAGCCAACGGAGCCTCACTCCCACTCCTTGGGTCAGCTGTTCATCTTCCTCCTCCTCCTCGGATTCCGACGCCAACAGGGGCACGACCATAAAATTTGGGCTCTACTTGTGGTCAGTAATTCAAGAACTCCCTGTAGGAATCCTTGACTTACGACCGTGTACGGAGCCCGACAAATTACAGTCGTAAGCCGTGACAGCTGGTAAACGTCACAAACCCAATTTTAGGACTGTTTTCACGCCGGTCGTTCAGCTATTCGTTATTCGGTGATTATGTGTGGGTTTCCGGCGAAACCGTCCTAAATTGCATTCACGGGACCGCAGGGTGCTATAAAGGGGCCCTAACTGGGTTGTAAGCAGCAGTTTAGGGAGGAGGGCGGGCTGTTGTAAGTTGGCGCTCACGCCCCCAACTTAAATTCTCCCCCCTCCCCTCTTCTCAGGGCCGTGTTTGCACACCTGTCTCGGTGACCCGTTCTTGCTGGCTCCGGTGCCCGGCAAATCCAAGCTAGAGCTGCCGCCGAAAGTGCCCGACCACCTGTCCAAGACTATCACCCGCTCCCTGGGGGACCTCAAGGTGTGCCGGGGGTCTCGCAGCCTGATGGCCCGTTTCCTGCACCGATCCAAACGGAACCTGACCTTGCCCGGCGCGGAAATGAGCTCTTGCGGGAACAAGCAGGTACCGGCTTAGCGAAGTAGGAACGAGAAGGTGTTTTTTTTTTTTAAAGGTTTGGGGTCTAAAATCTGTCTAAAATGGGGCAGAGTGTCCTGCTTGGGTTAGGGGGGCTAGACTAGAAGACCTCCAAGGTCCCTTCCAACTCTGTTATTCTGTCGTTCTACTATACTATTTTTCTTCCTCCCTTCCTCTTCTTTTCCTTCCTTCCTTCTTTCCCCACTGGGGTTTTTCAAAGAAGAGATTGGACAATCATTTGTCTGAAATGGTATAGGGAGCAGGGGGGGGGTTGGACTAGATGACCTCCAAGGCCCCTTCCAACTCTGATATTCTACTATACTTCTTTTCCTCCCTCCCTCCCTTCTTTCTTTCTCCTTCCTTCCTTCCCTCCCTCCTTCCTACTGCTCCCTACCCTGTTTCTCCAACAATACGGCCTCCCCCAATAGGAAGTCCCAGCATGTTTTATAGGCATGAAATGAAATTAAGCCCCTCCCCCCCAAATTAAGGCCTATATTAAAACAGGTGAAATGGGGGGGAATGGTGGGGGGGGCTTGCTGTTAGGAAGTACTTTTGTTGCACACCTGGATATGGTGCTGCCTGCGTTGACCCTGATACGAAGTGCCCCACCAACGCCGAGGTCAACATCCAAGCTGTCGCCGCCCGCCCGAAGATGCAAGGGGGGGGAATTAAGTCACCCCCGAAAAGACAGCCTAGCCATTTTTTCGGGGCTCAAAAAAAAAATAAGACCCAGCCTTATTATATGAGAAACACGGTATTTTCTCCTTCCTTCCTTCCATCCATCCCACCCATTTTTCTTCCTTCCCTCCATCCTGCCCACCTAATTTCCTTCCTTCCTATTCCTTCCTTTTTTCTCTTTCCTTCCTTCCCTCCCTCCTTCCTACTCCTTCCTGTTTTCTCCCTCCCTCTCTTCCTTCTTCCATCCATCCCACCCATTTTTCTTCCTTCCCTCCATCCTGCCCACCTGTTTCCTTCCTTCCTTCCTTCCTTCCCACCTATTTTCCTTCCTTCCTTCTTTCTCTCCCTCCTTCCCTCCTTCCTTCCTTCCTTCCTTCCCCACCTATTTTCCTTCCTTCCTTCCTTCCTTCCTTCCTTCCTTCCTTCCTTCCTTCCTTCCTTCTCTCCCTCCCTCCTTCCTTCCTTCCCACCTATTTTCCTTCCCTCCCTCCCTCCCTCCCTCCTTCCTTCCTTCCTTCCCT